CATATTAAATCCAAAAGACATATCTATTAAGTTTATAGATTTGCTACATAAATATTCCACTCTAAAACCTTATTTCTCATCTATATGAGATCTTTACACATTCCTTAACTCTACTAACATGTTCATGTTACTCCAACATTGTCACCATACCCTCCTTCAAAGAACATAAGGCATAAAGTCTAGGAAAATCATTTTTCAACAAACTTCTACCTAATTAAACACCTATCCCTCCAAGAGGCCAGTCTTTTTCCATTCCCCCCTGGCCAGCTCCCACTGAAAACCCTTCTCAATTACCCTTGTTGACATCTCACCACTTTCTATAGAAACAATATCACTGGACAGTTAACATATGACCTGATTCAAAATTAGTCACCTTAACCTCCATTCTGCCTCTATAATATTTTTCACAAACTACCCTATTCCATAATCCCTCCACTTCACACCCAAATCTACTCCACCATTTCCCTAACAAACTCCAATTCTTTTTTGCTAGATCTGCCATGCCTAACCCACCATTCTTCGTATGACAACAAATATTCTTCCAACAAACCCATGTAATTTTTTCCTTTTCTCAACCCCATCCCAAAAAACAATACTCATAACACCCTTAGGAATTTTATAGAATAATAAATAAAAAATAAGAAGAGCAAAAAGTACTAATAAGTTGTTATAAAAAAATAATGATAAATACTTAAAGAGTTGTGAATTAGTTGGTAAAAAAATTTACTCTCCACCTTATTAATCAAGATTCAATTCTTTGGGAAAGTTAATATAGAAGTAATTCTTCATGAATTCTCTACTTTCAGTGTAAATGACTTGTTTTTTATTGAATCAAAGCGAAATTAGTTTGAAAGTATATAAAAATTGATTTTAGACACCTTAGCTGCTAAAAAAATTAAAAATTATTAAAATTAACTATTTAACAAAATTATGTTAGATAATAAAACGTTAATGGTTTTAAAAAAATTAATAAGGACCAAAACAAATCTAAAATCTCAAACGTTAGGACTAAAAATAAATATTTTAAAGTTTAGGGACCAACCCAAGGGTTCGTGCCAAAATTCAAGGACCAAAACTTAACCAAAATAGAATGCACTAAGTGGTATTAGAAGTGGAGAGTTTTAAGACACTCACTCCAACATCCTCGTGGGCAAATCACTACTAAAATTCTCACTTTTACCAATAATTTATCAGCAACATGGGTGTTCTTGTCGGTGATATAAATTTTCACTGACAAGGACTATATTGCTGAAAGTCATACAGTACACTTTCTTACCTAAAAAGCTGCTCCATTTTCAGCAACAAGGGATATGTTGCTGAAATTGCAATATACCTCATGTTGGTGTAATTTTTCAGTCATTACATAGTGCATATTCCCACCTAAAAATAAGCCCAACTTTCAACAATAAAAGGTATGTTGCTGAAGCAACAAAGAATATGTTGCAGTAACTTTCCAAACACTTAGAGCATTAGCAACATACCCCTTGTTACTATTATTCCTATATTTTTTTTCAACCAAATATCAGCAACATAAATATCAGCAACAAGGAATATGTTGCTGATCTTGTTGCTGATATTCAAGATTTGACCAACAAAATCTTAATCATTTAAACTGGATACTAATTGTAATCAGTTCCATTTCCTTTCCCTTCCTCTTTGTCCCTTTTGCTTTCTACTCTCTCCTTCTTTTTCTTCTCTTTCCATCGTCTAATTCTTCTTTTAATTCCTTTCTATCAAACAATAGATCATATTTGCTTCTTACTCCTTTGCTTTTTATTTCCATCATCATAACTTGTTAACCATTCTTTGGTTTTTTTCTTTTCTTTTTTTTTTCCCCTCACTTCTACATTTGTTGCTTGTGAAAGGTGAAGGGATGAGTGACAAGGGCTTTCGTAATATCAATTGTGGTGGGTGATACTTTTGGAAGTGATTGTGTTGTTTTTTGTGTGAGTATGGATTATCATGATTTCCTTGTCTGGGTTTTGTTTATTTTGACTAGATTTGTGAGTTTTATAATTTGGGTCAGGTTAAAATTTTTTTGAGTATGGAAGGTCAAGATGTTGGAGAACGAAGTTGAAGCAACACAAGTGATGGAAAAGATGACAAATGAGCAATCTGGGAATGGAATTGAATTTTGAGGCCTTTTTCTGTTTTTCCTTTTTTTTTTTTTTTTTTAACTTGAATAACTTAAAAATCCAACAATAATATTGGACAAAGTGAAGTACAGAGGAGGCTCTGGAGAATGAGGGAGGGCATAGGGCAAAAACGAAAATGAAAGGAGATTGTTCACAATCAGTTACCAGTTAAAATTATACATTTTTATGTGAAATTTTTAATAATTGACTCTTAAGAAAAAAATATTATATATTTCTGTGTTAAATATTTATGTATACTCAAATATATGTTCATTTTTTGAATGATTAATAAAATTCTACTAATGTAATTATATTAACTAATATCTTAAGTGTTAAGTAATATTTAATAGAGAAATAAAAATTTATTAAGAAAAATTGAATTTTTTTTTTAAAAGAATTTTTTGAAGTATATGAAGCAAAAAATTGGCAGAGATGATAATTTGAAATTTTAGCAATATGGTATATGCAGGAGATGCTATTTCAAATTTGAACAATTTTTAACAACATGTGATATGTTACTGAAAAGAGTGGAAAACTCCAATGACCGGCTCTGGTGAATTTTTTAGCAACATAAACTATGTCGTTAAAACTTTACTTTTAGCAACAAAGGATATGTTGCTGAAAAAGATGCCATGAATCAGCAACGTGGAGTTTGTTGCTAATGTATTACCCATCAAAGCTTCTCCAACAAAGACAACAATAACATGGGTTGCACTTTCACTTTCACCAACTTGCTCCATGTTGTTAAAAAAGAGGATTTTAGTAGTGAATGTCGTTCCAATTGGGTAATTCATGCCGCATGACACAAACAGCATGAGCACAAGCACGCTCGCAGCCATCTAGCTCAGATACCGCACAGACAGGAAACCAAGTATCAGGAATTAGATCCTTTGTTAATGAGCCAACCCTTTTCTGCAATCTCATTGATTTTTTGCAAACTCTCTCACTGACAAAAATATCATCTAAAAAGATTGTTCTCCATTCCTCTAGCACTCTTGAGTCTCAGTTCATCAGCATGCCACTTCTTCTTTCTGAAAAGCTTGCCCTGCAATAACTGCTGGGATGGCAGCCCCCAACAGTGATCACCAAACATCCACACCATGTCCAATCGCGGTGCATATGATCTTTCTAGTTCCCCTATTTTCTCATCCTTGCCCCTGAATATTGAACGATAAAAAAAAGGTACATAAACTAATATGATTCCACTTAATTATATACTCATCAAAGTTGCTAGTATTTGGATGAGCCAATTCAATCCTTTATTCCTCAGTCATGATATAGCACAATAGATGACGAGTTTTTAAGAAGAAAAATGCTAAACACTTACTACTTGCAGCTACAAGATTGTATTCATTTTGAAAAGCTGTCTACACTGTATTTTAGCATGTATATTTTACAGTAAGCCACTTTGATCAATAATGAAAACTAAATACCTTCCTTTCCAACAAAAAAGAAACATATTTGTCTCATTTTCTAGAATTCATGTTTTACAAAACAATAGAACAAGAGTTTTTGGTGCAGCCGTACTGTTGTACCACGCCATAGCTTTCCATGTGATATTTCAACTAATGAGAATTAAGTTGACATTGGCAAATCAGTTAGAAACCTATGACATGGGAGGTAGCATAAACAATCTCTAACAGCTTTCTAACGTAGAACCTAACTACCTCTTATGCGCTTCTTACGTGGTATCCTGTTGAACTAAAGATTTTTTCCAATTGAACCAAGCCTCTCAACAAACACCCACAA